TTTATATTGTAGTTATATTTATACTGTTTAATTTGAGTACTGTATTGCACCGACTACGCCAAAACAAATTCCTTGTATGTCCAAAAACGTACTTGGCAATAAAGCTTTTCTGATTCTGATTCTGATTCAGTGTTCACCGGTTTTAGTGTGGTGAGTTTGTGTATGTGTAGATGGCAGCCTGGAGAGTTACCTGTATGTTACTGGCTGCAGCAGGTAACATACTGGGTGAAGATGGGGAGAGTGGGGGACAGGGAGATAATTAAATTCCCCTGAGATTCGAAAAAGGGCCTGGGGATGCTGTGTTTGGAGCCTGCTGGTAACAGTGTGGATGACATTGCATGCTGCTGTAACATTAGCAGAGGGTGGAACATACACTGTCTTCATGTAAATTCCCGTGGTAGATGATACGACCTGATGCAAACACCAGCTCAATGTCTTTACTGCAAAGCGTCTCTCTTTGATAGTTAAATGCCCAGAGTTTTGCCATCTATGATACACAAACACAACCAAACCCCCTCCTCTCTTAACACTCTCATTGGTTCTGTTACCATGGATGAAATGAAAACTGTCCATGTTCATATGTCTGTCTGGAGTTGGCGCAATTAGCCACGTCTCATTTAAGATAACTAATCTGCTTTCTGAATAACCCCACTGATGCCGGGTAAGCGCCACCAATTTATCTAGTTTGTTGGGCGGGGGGGCTCCACGGTGGTGCAGTTGGTAGCACTGTTGCCTTGCAGCAAGAATGTTCTAGGTTGGACTCCTGGCCGGGAGTCCATCCTAGAACCTTTATGGATGGAGTTTGCATGTTCTCGCCGTGCATGTGTGAGTTCTCACCGGGTATTCCGGCTTCCTGCCACAGTCCAAAAACATGACTGTTAGGTAAAATGGTCTCTCTAAATTGCCCTTAGATGTGAATGATTGTGTGCATGGTTGTTTGTCCTGTATGTCTCTGTGTTGCCCTGCGATGGATTGGTGACCTGTCCAGGGTGTATCCTGCCTCTCACCCTTAGACTGTTGGAGATAGGCACCAGCTTCCCCGTGACCCACTATGAGAATAAGTGGTATAGAAGATGAATGAATGTTGGGAAGGGATCTCACAATCTCCATGATAATGGACGGGATGAGGGGTCTGCTCCTCCGGTTGTGATGCTTGATACAGGCGCGGGTCCCACATCTCTTCCTCCCTGCCTCACAAGGAATATCTGGTTGCTCAGTGGGATTCGCAAATGCAGAGCTACAGAGAGCTATTGTACTGTAAAATAGTTTTTTATAAAAAACAAAGCTGTCCACAAACGGTTAGTTCCATTGTGTTTGTTCAAGCAAGACAGAAGAAAAAGAAACACATAACACATTAACAAAAATAATTTAAAAAGAAAAACTCAGGACTGAATAGGAGCTGCTGAAACAGACTGCCTGCTCGTGCGGTGCCAGAAGTAAAGTGCTACGTAGATCTACGTAGGTCTGTTGTTTCCAGATTAGACAGAAACACATATGGCAGTTGTTTCCCTGGGAATGCAACTTTGCCTGTTAAAGCTCAAGTCCCATGGCACACAAAATATCTTGTATCTTTAACAACTTGCAGACAACTTTATTCCTCCATATCTTCAGCTGGCCTCTCGGAATTTACAATGGACGAGGTCACACTGGTGCTCAATTAAACAGATGAAGTTATGGACAACTTCTCTTTAATCAATAGAAAACGTAAGTCAGCTCAAGGTGACGTTTGACACCCTCCAGTTGTATTTCATAGTAATGCAGATATTTTCTTAACAGATCCAAGCCTCTTTGAGTCATTGAGCTCATATGATTCCAGACCTCACTATATATACACATGAATGACAAGAGACTAGAGACGAGATGTAACTGTGAAGCCGTCTACAAGAAGGGACAGAGCAGACTGTACTTCTTGAGGAAGCTTAGGTCCTTCGGTGTTTCCAGCAAGATGCTGCATATCTTCTATAAGTCTGTTGTGGAGAGTGTGATCTCTTCTGCCATCATCTGCTGGGGTAGCAGCATCAGAGCCAGGGACTTAAAAAAGCTCAACAAGCTGATAAAGAAGGTTGGTTCTGTTCTGGGGACACCTCTAGAACCTCTGGAGATCATTGTGCAAAGAAGGATTCTTCATAAAATGAAGAGCATTATGGAGAACCCTGAGCATCCTCTTAATGAGACTGTTGTACAACAACAGAGTGTTTTCAGACAGAGGCTTCTTCAGATGTGCTGTAAGACAGAGCGCTACAGAAGATCCTTCCTGCCCACAGCAATCAGCATCTACCTGTATAATATGAGCTACAACAACATTGAATTTCCCTTTGGGATTAATAAAGTATTTTTGAATTTTGAATTGAATTTGAATTGAATAACTTTACACTATTGCCAAAAAAACATCTTAAACAACTTTTCCATCCCACTTAAACTCCTTTTTTAGTCCATCTGAATGTTTTTTGCAATATTCTACAGTACTGCCCTGCCACCTCTAGCCCTAAATTAATAAAAACTAAATTTCCTTGCACTTTAGGAAACAGGACAGCCAAACATTATTAAAATCAGAAAAATCTTTTTGCAAAGAGCTTTAGCACTAGCAGACGAATCATTGTACAAAAAAAACAATGTTTTACCCCCCAACAAGGACTGCCCACTGCATAATAAGCCACACCCACTCAAAAAATGCAGAACATTTAGGAACAAAACGCTCAATGAAAGAAAGGCCTTCCTCAAAGAGAAGAGAATATACTTCAAATGCTGCTCTTCAGACACACATCTTGCAAAGGACTTTAAGACCACAGTAAAGTGTTCTGAATGTGATAGCATCAGTCACGAGACAGTCATGCATCCTGGTTATCCACCAGAGGTCAACAAGGCTCCCCACCGCCACGAGAAAATGGCGGGGAGGCGGAGAACAGTCCTGACACTCTCGATGTCATAACAACCTGCACAGACGTGTGCAGTCCAGGTCAATGGGGTCGTTCATGTTCTGAAATATGTCTTACGTGGTGTATCCTAAAGTTTACAAAGAAGGAGCCATCAAAGGTTACGTAATATTAGATGATCAAAGCAATCGCTCCTTAGCGAGGCCCGAGTTGTTTGAACTCTTTGGCATTAATAACAAACCTTTCTCCTACAACATCAGAACATGCTCTGGTGTTGCAGAAATGTGGGGCAGAGTGACAGAAGGATTTCAGATCGAGTCACTAGATGGGTCAGTAGTTATTTCCCTACCCCCACTTGTCGAGTATCAGGACATTCCTAACAACAGGAGTGAGATCCCAACCCCGAGCGCAGTGTTACACCAGCCACACATCCAATCTATAGCTAAGTACATCCCAGAACTAGGCTCAAAGACCCAGATGCTCCTTCTCCTTGGGCGAGATGTTGTACGGGTACACAAGGTTAGGCAGAGTGTTAATGGTCCTCATGATGCACCCTTTGAACAACGCCTGGATTTAGATTGGGTCATAGTCGGAGAGGTATGTCTGAGTAATGCACATAGACCGACAGTCAGCACTTACTAAACAGTTGTTCTGGAAAATGGCCGCCCAACCATTTTCGAACAGTGACAGTGACAGTCTCTTCCAACTTAAGGAAATGCTGTACTCAAATTGGCTAGTAAATGCCGTAAGCCATTACAACCGTAACAAACTCTGGGGCAAACAGATCTTAACCAGACAGAAAACAAAAACAAACCAACTCCCTCAATACAGGACACTCTCTTCCTAAAGATAATGGACAATGCTATGTTCAGAGGTGAGGACAATAGTTGGGTTGCCCCACTTCCATTTAAGGAACCTTGCCAGCCACTGCCAAACAATAGTGAACAGGCAGTCAGCAGATTCTCGTACCTAAAACGCAACCTAAAAAGGGAACCTGGAATGCAGGAGCATTATATAGCATTCATGTGCAAGATCTTCTCCAATGGGCGTGCCGAAATGCCCCCCCTCCCCACTGAAGCAGGGAGAGGAGTGCTGGTATCTTCTGACATTTGGAATTTACCACCCCCAAAAGCCATATCAGATCAGGGCTGTTTTTGATTCTATTGTCCAGTACCCCGTGTCTTATTGAACAGCACAACTTACCTCCTTAATGTTCACCTTCTGCCGATGATACTTGGCCCTGTCTTACAGTGTTTAATACTATTTTTCTCCTAGACATAGCTACTGACTGAGACTTTACTGTGACTAACTGTATGTGCTCTCTCTCATACTCTAAACTTGAAAACTGGCTCAGAGTTTATCTGTTTTTTTCTTCCTAGATGAAACCACTAAAGTAGGTACATCCATTAACATTTACTTCTCCTTCCTATAGACAGTACTCCTGGATCAGTACTTCTGTGTTCTACTTCTGTGTTCTTTTTCTGCTCTGTTCTCTCAAACCCCCAGTCGGTTGTGGCAGATGGCCGCTCACACAGAGCCTGGTTCTGCTGGAGGTTTTCCTGTCGCTACATGCATGCTCAGTATGAGGGATGACTGCAAAGTCAACGCCAGTGACTGTCCACTGTCTCTACATGCTCATCCAGGAGGAGTGAATGCTACAAGTCACTGACTCGATGCAATCTGCTGGGTTTCCTTAAATAACTTAGAAAACTTTTTAACCAATTTGAATAAATAACTGAATCTGACTGCACTGTTCGATTGTTAGGGTTAATTGGAATCTACGTACCTGAGTTGAAACCTGTATGATTCAACTGAATTGACTTAGCCCATTTTAAAGTTACCCACCTTTCACACAATGCAACAGGAAACAACACTCTCCAATGATTTTTACATCTGCCTTCGTCCTTCCCTGTTGGATGGAATAAGGGGGAGTCAGGTTTAGCCTAAACTGGCTCAGTTATGGTTGAGGTGCAAACACACCCTCCATTTCTGCTACCTGTGCGACCCCTTCTCTTTTCCAATGGCTACAATCAGTCTGACAGAGAGAGGCACCCCCAATCCTTGTGGTTTTTAGTATAACAATGGCCACCAGTGGGCTCTAGATGGACAAACTTTATCAGTTTATTATTTTACTTAGTTCATCCTTTGTGAAGTGCCATGAGACGACATGTGTTGTGAACTGGCGCTATATAAATAAAACTGAATTGAATTGAATTGAATTGAATTGAATTGACAGCTCCCGATCTAAACAACACGCTCATTGGTATTCATCAGCTTTCGATGTGTATCTGCCATTATGGCAGATACACAGCAAATGTTTCACTGCTTCATTGTGCGTGAGGATCACAGTAACTTCCTCTGTTTTCTGTGGCATAAGGATAACGATGTTAACAAGGAAGTTATTGATTACCGCATGAGAGTCCATGTATTTCGCAATTTGACATCTCCTGCTGTTGCTGTTTATGGATCTTGCATCAAGGTCGCTTTCAGCAGCTCAACTCATATAGTCCACGTGGTTCACTAGACCATGTTTCATTCACAGTCCTCCTGCACAGACAAGATAAGTAATTGATGTGTTTCACATAACTGAACAAAACAGACACTTGGAAATTAGGCCGCAAATCACTGCCTACGTCACTCACCTCTGAGTACTCGGCAGTAAACATTTTGAGCGTTTCTCCCCCTTTAAGTCCTTAATCAGGGCTGTAGCAAATCTTATCCACATTGCAAAATCCTTTAATGGCCCTACCTCAAACTGTGAATGCAGGGGCTGGCACAGATTTCATCTGCCTCGTATCTCCGAGGAGATGGCTCAAGCAAAAAATGTTGTGCTCAAAGAGACACTGAAATCCCAGTTTAAAAAGGAACTTTCAGCTCTCAATACCGGCAAGCCTATCCCAAA